CCTGCCGGCCCGCGTCCTCTAATTAAAAAGCTTTTTTAAAAAGTGGGATGATCTCTATTAGAACTCAATGAAACAGCAATGCTATTTATGCAACATTTAAAAATTCTTCGAAGTGCTTTTTGATCCATATGGCACCCCTAAGGTATATATACCCTGTGCATTTCCATTGTAAAGATAAATAATCTGAGGCAAATTGATTTCCTTGAGTACACATGCATGTATCATGCATGCATTTTTAACCAGTGAAAGTAGGTTTCTGGGGTGAGTGAAAAACATCTTAGACATTACAATGGTTTGTGGTTTCCAAAGGGTCCAGTACATAAACAGATATTCAACATAATGTACCTATGATATTAAAGTTTCATGGGGGCAATGTGATTAGAAGAAAATGTCTTCAAAGGCTCTTTGAGGTGGGGGCAGAAATAATGGGGGAAAAATTGAAACACTGCATCAGTGGTACAGAAAAGAAGTCAGACCTAAGAATCCCAAGCTGGTATTAATTCCATTAACCTATTGTACTTGTTCTAGATCACAGGGTTTTTAAAGCAATACTGTCATATTAAAAAATACTGTCATATTTTCTAGGACAGTACTGATTTCACATGCTTTTGTTTCCTAATATTTATTAAATATACAACTACATAAATTCATCTGTATGCCTCCAGGTGTTACATCATCAAACCTCAATCATACTATTGGACACATCCCCATAAAACTCTGGACCTAATATAATCTTCTACTTTCCCTTTCCCCAATTCCCAAACTTGTCTCTGGGCTATTGAAAAGTTCCAGTCTCAGATCAGCAAAACATCCAATATCCTCAACTTCTCTGAATATTCCCTTCATCTTCTCGCTCTAATGACAACGTGGCTATCCTGTGAGTGCTGCTCATGAAGCCTTTACAGAGTGTTCTCCCCCTTCTTACTCCAGCACGTTATAGACCTCAGACACTTAATAGCAAAGAGGAGAAAGGAGAATATCCATTTATGCTTTGCATTCTATTTCTTTTGCCTGGAAATATTTTACCCTAGATTTTTAGCTTGGCTTACTTTCTCAAATCATTCAGATCTTTATTCAAACCTATGCAAAGCCTTCCCTGATGACTCTGTCTGAAAGAGCAATTACTCTGTCACCACCTTCTTACCCTGCTTCATAGGAAACCTCATAGCACATATGATTAAAATATATATCCATATAAAAGAGAGGAAAATATTACAAAGTGTTTATAGCAGTTATCTTTAAGGGTGACTGAAATTATGAGTGACTTGATATTTATTTTGGTACTTTTTAATTTTTCTATAATGGGTATATCCCATATAATAAGGAGCTAATATGCTAATTAGAGCAGACAGCGGAATGACCTTCCGGAACAACCTTCCGGAACAACCAGTGGGGGGTCGGGGCCACAGGGCTGTGAGGGCCTACTCTTGCATGATGAGTGAAGAGTAGGCATCAGGCCTCTAGTAATTTTATAATCGGAATAAAGTTATCTTTAAAGAAAAAAATCATGGTGATAGAAATTTCAAAACAGGTATAATAAAAGAATGATGGGAGAGTCTGACTTCCCATCTAATTTCTCCCACCTGCACAGTGCCCAAGCTGAGATCCCACTAGATGTTGAACACTGACAGACCTGGGTATGGAGACTACATCCTGCTCAAGGCTGGTTTGGCCACTGGCCTTACCTCACGGCAAACAGCTGCAATCTGGCCTTCATCCATGCAGGTTTCCGTCACCACATCTGTCAAAGAGCCTCCAGCCAAGTATTCCATGACAACCCACAGCTCATCTCCCACGAGGTAACTGTAGGATAATGGGTAAGAAGGAACAGAGTACACTGAGCCATAGAACTGGATTTCAAAGGCTCAGCACATAGACAGAGTGAACGTGCATTTCCAATGGAGGCGTTGCCTTCTCCTTTAACATCTCCACCATCCATCAGTCCCAAAGGCCCGATCTCTCTGACAGGACCTGTCCATACCTGTCCAAGTAGTTCACAATATTTGGGTTCTTATTTTCCCTCATGACCAGGATCTCATTAATAATCAGTTCTTTCTTCGGCTGCTGCTGAAGATTCATCTGCTTAATGGCCACCTGAGATCAGAGTACATTCGATACACAATTAGAGTCACTCAGTGCTTACTGAGCATCTACTGAGTACCAGACCTTAAACACTAAGCAGAGATGATTAAGATATGGTCTTACGCTTGAAGAATTTACAATTTATTAATATAGCCCAGTGGTACTCAATATGAGCTCCCTAGACCAGCAGGATCAACATCTGAAAACTTGTTGAAAATGAAAATTTTCAGGCTCTAGCCAGTCCTAGAAATTTTGTATTTTAATAAACCCTCTAGGAGATTCTGATATGCACCAGTTTGAGGATCAACCTTGCTACTAAATAAAATAGTCATATTAAAAAATACTTTTTAAAATCACAGTATAAAAAGGTGTGCTATAACAAAAGTCCATACAAAGTGCTACAGGAACATGTTTGGCAATGTAGAGACTTCAGAGAGGGGAAAATGACTTTTTAAAGTTGGTGTGGAAAGACAAATCAGAGTGGACCAATTAAGAGAGAAGACAAAAAGGGATAAAATCCCTACACTACTTGTATATGAAGAAAGATCTTGATAGGCTTCTTGTCTATAGAAATGAATCAGTTTCCACATAATACAAATATAAGGTATAGGTCAGTTTCACCCCAAGGCACTTTTTTATCCATCTTTTCTGCTGACCGCTTCTGACAGATAAGGAAATTGTGTTTGAGAGGGATATGTGAATTGCAAACATATGTCTGAAGGGCAACACATTGACCTAAAGACATCTTACATTAAGTATAGTAAGCCCTTGTAACATATGTTAAGACTTGGAGCCATGGAGTGCCTTTGGAATTCCCTTAGGCCATCTCGAAGGATGGAACAGTATTCTTGAACCTCACAGAAGTCACTGCTGGCAGCAGAAAGGAAGAACAGAGGTGGACAGAAGATAACATAGAGGCAGTGGCAGGACCTCAGGGATCATTTGTAATAGCTACTGACTAACTATGGCCTAGGCTACATGCCCTTCACACCTAATCAGATCCCTCCTCTTCAGGCCAGCAGACAGCACTCCTATAACAGAAAAGGATTTGGACTTGAACTCTGAGGATGTAAGCTCCAGGGCTGAGTCTGCACTTACTAATCTTAACCAATCACAAGCTCTCTACGCCTCAGTCTCTTCATCAATACACTGAGGATAATAATAATACCAAGCCTGGTTCCCTTCCTTACAGGATTGGTTTGAGGACTAAATGAGATAGTGGCCAATGTGTTACTCATATTCAAAGAGAACTTTAAATGATAAAGTAAGGCAACAATGAAAACGCTAATCACAGTAATAACCGCATTTGATAAATACCTGGCACAGAGCAGCAAGAATGACAACATCAACAGAAACAATAGCAAAACCCAACCACCCTCCCACCACTACTATTTTTTGAATGCCTACTATGTACCAGGCCCGGAGGTTAGCTGCTCTGCTTACATTATGTCAGTAAAATCTAACAACAACCATGTAAGTAAAAATCATTATCTGCATTTGCGGGTAAGGAAATTGAGATTTAACATTTACAAGAAAATTGCCTAAAGTCATAGTCAGTGCCCACGGACCACATGACTCCAAAGCCTCTTTCAGTCTCTTCTATTACACACGTTCCCTCTAAACAATAGGCTTGAAAAATAATAGTTCAATCTGTCACTGGAAGACTTCCCAGCACTAACATACAGTCTTCCTATAGGTCACAGACAATAGCTCTGCTCATCCCAGGGGACAGCCCCTCGTAAGCACTTACTCCCGAAGCCTGGAGATTTAGACTCCCTGGGCAGGAAGCAAGGTCTTCCTGACCACACTCATTAGCCACCCTAATGGACTTCCATTCATAGTTTTATAACCACAAGGCAGGCACACAGGGAAGTCAAGTTTGTTTCCTGTGGGTAGCTTCTCATACACGCAGCCTCCAGGCCTTTCAGGAACTACCCACCATGAGCCAGCCTCCCATTAAGGGCTGTAAAACCCAAGAGGCCAGAAACATAACAAGGAACCCTAGTGCCTAACCCGAGCTCTGCAGCCCAGAAAGCACAGCTTTAGGTTTTGGAATCAAAAGTTTCTAACCCGGTCCTTGCGAACTGTACCATCCTACAAGTTATTTAAACTCCCTGTTACCTACATCATAGGGACTTTTAGAATGGGCATAACCTCCTGTTTTCCAGATTTCTGCCTCCAATTCACCATATTTAAAATTGACACAATTATATCACCCTTCCTTCCCCACCATTATTTCAATACAGGTTCCTGTCGGCACTGTAAGTCTTTTAGGCGTACACAATGGAAAATATGGTCTGTTGCATTTGTATATGATTTTGGGGGAAAGGGGATAAAACCATTTTATCGAGGGCCTTCAGGAGAGGTGTGAGGGGCTGGGAGGACAATGATATCCGCCATCCTCAGCCCAGCCAGATCTCCCGCTTCACAGCCACTGGAAAGCCATTTAGATACGATTGTAATGTCTCGGTGCTGCGGCAGCACTGAATCTTTCACATCGTGTCCCTACTGAGCTAAGAAGGGTTAAAATTTAACCAAAAAACCAGTAGAGCCGAAGGAGCAATAGTTGGTTATAGACACTCACCTCCTGTCCTGTGGCCACATCCATTGCTGTGTACACAGTGCCTGAAGCACTGAACAACAGGTCGGGGAGAGAGAGAGGAAAAACATGGGTATTAAGTGAGGTGATACTTGTCAGATGCAAATCTACACACACTTTGGCAATACAGGGTTTATAACAGCAGCAAAAATAATCTTCCCCACTGCCCATCCCCACCTTCTCAGATTTGAGGGGCAGTATGTAGTAGCAAAGAGCATACAGGCTCTAGTGGCCAAAAGATCTGAGTTCCAATCTAGAACATCTACCTAGTATCTACTAGATATACAATCCTGAGCAAGTTATTCTCTAAGCTTCACTTTCCTCGTTTGCAAAGTGAAGGTAAGAGTATAAGAGTGTATAAGAGAATTTAAATCAATTATTTATTTATGCTCTCAAGAGGATATGTGAATTTCATTATAAAACAGTTTTGTATTTTTCATTCTTTTCAAACATAAAATATTAAATATGCTTTTTAAATACATATGCTCCCAGAAAATCTGATATTTCTACCCCAGCCCCAAGGTACCCTCACTATACATGTGCACATATGCGTGCGCGCGCGCGCGCATACACACACACACACACACACACTCACACACAAATAGAAAAGGGAGTGGGAGGGAGAGAATACTAAAAATAATGCTAGAAAAGTAATCATGTCCACCCAAAATATGCGTGCGCGCGCGCGCGCACACACACACACACACACACACACACACACACAAAGAGAAAAGGGAGTGGGAGTACTAGGAATAATGCTAGAAAAGTAATCATGTCCACCCAAAATAACTAAAAACCTCATTTTATGCCTATAACTATGAATCCTGCATATTTGTAGGTGATGATATGCAGCAATATTTGTAACTTTACATGTCATATGTCAGATAAGAAATTTAATTCCCTGTATTACCAAAAAAAAAAAAAAAAGCATTTTAGCAAGCCCTGAGATTATGCTTCACAGGGAAGTCAGGAAAATTCAGGGAGAAAAGTCACGTAAGTTTGCCTGAGAGTTAGAAATTACGGTCACCAGCTTCCTAACCACCACTCTTTAGTTGAGACCCTAGCTACATGCCAAAAAAATTGTGATCATAAGATATGGGCTATTAAATAAGGACTGGATTATTTGCATTGGCAGCTATTTCCCACTGACTCATCATCCTGCCGCTAGCCATCTTCTGTCGTAAAGCTGGTGTCTGACTTCCTGTGCCCATCCTCCCCCATCCCACCAGATGAACCATTCTTAAAATGCCTTGGGGGTGGACATCTCTATGATTTCAGAAGTCTAGAAAGCGACTCAGGCCCACTGGTTAGTACTTGATTGTTTCTACCTTGAATAGACATATGTTTAGATGTGAATTCTGGGGCAAAAAAGTCCTCAGGTCTTAAAGGGAAGAACAAGCAAAAATTATAATAGCACTAATTCATCATAATTATGTGGCATTTGTGTGTTTTTTTAAATCATGGCATGTGAAATCATCAGCACAGGTGATTAATAAATATCGCATTCCTCCCGTACACTAACAGCCCTGTCAAATAAGCAGGGAAGGCACATTTTGTAGATGTTGCCTATTTATGGACTTCACACATCTGAATTTTTAAAAAAATCATAAATTCGGGACGTGAAAGGCACAGAATCTACAACTGCTCTCCCTTAAATTTACGGATGAAGAAACTGAACTCCAGAGATGGGACCCGACTTGCCCACACTTGTCTGTACATCTGCTACATTCTCAGTACCTCAATGTAATTAGCTGAAGGAAATGCCATACCAGACTATTCTTACTTTCTTCTCAAGATTTTAACTACCTTATATCAGTTCAGACTCACGAATGCATGTCTAGTAGAAAAAGCACTCCAACAGGAAAAAAATAAGATTCACGCAAGTCCAGGGTTGTTTTAAGGATTTAACAATAGATGCAAATAACTGATGTAAGCTGTAGAATGCTGTATAATTAAAACATCAGTATATTACACAATACTTTATTTTATTTCCAGGAGGTTTTGGAATCATAAGGAAAAAACTAAAACAGAAAATTTCAATGACTTCATTAGCAATAATGTTTTCATTTAACTAACACTGAAATGAGAGCTTTCTAAGTAATTTTTTATTGTTTCTTTTTAATTTTAGCTATTTCTGTTGGTCTATAAAAATCTCATTATTTTTCTTTTTCATATAGAGATATAACTTATCTAAAGTAATTTGCACAAATCTTAAGTGAACAACTTGATGATTTTTCAATAGGTATACACACGTGTGCACCACCAACATCACCCCTGAAGGTTCCTTCATGCCCCTTCCCAATCTGCATTCCCCTCTCAGACGCAACAATTTCTCTGGCTTCTTTTAGCATATATTAGTTTTGCCTGTTCTTGAACTTACATTTATATAAATAAAATCATAGAGTTTCTGTTCTTTTATGTCTGGCTTCTTTTGTTCAAAATAATGGCCAAATGCTTTTTAAGAAATCACAGTATAGGGGTGACCCTTGAACAACACAGGGACACTGACCTCCAACATAGCCAGAAATCTATGTACAACTTTTGATTCCCCAAAAGCTTAACTACTAAAAGCCTACTGCTGACTGGAAGCCTTACTAATAACATAGTCAATTAACACATATTTTGCCCATTATATGTGTTATATACTGTATTCTTACAATAAAGTAAGCTAGAGAAAGTAAAATGTTAAGAAAAGCAGCCCGGCCCCCATGGTTCAGTGGTTGAACCAGTGGTTGCAGGCTCAATCCCCAGTGTGGGGCACGCAGAAGGCAGCAAATCAATGACACTCTCTCATCATTGATGTTTCTATCTCTCTCTCCCTCTCTCTTCCTCTCTGAAATCAGTATATATACACTTAAAAAAAGAAAATCATAAGAGAAAATACGTTTACAGTATTTATTGAAAAACTTGTACATAAATGGACCCGTGCAGCTCAAACCTGTATTGTCCAAAGGTAAACTGTATTCTAATTCTTTGTTTGACTATCTCCTGTAGACATGAGGTCTTTGAAAGCAGAGACTGTGTCTGATTCATAGCTGTGTTCCCATTGCCTGGTACATAACAGGACTTAATTAAGATTTGCTGAGCTCAGTACACTGAGGGCAGCATACAAGATGCAGAGAAGGAACCAGAGAGGAGAAGACTATCCACCTAGAAAAACGGGTCCTGCTACACTAGCAGAAGGATCTGCAATTGAGTCTTCCATTTCATATTAGTGCTGGTAGAGCTGAGCACCAGGTAAACAGGGTTAGTCTGAAAAAGCAGAGCTGTTATTTGGGAAGCATGTTTTATACTAAGAAAATAAATGGTTTTTCAATTCTCACTGCAGGGGTATTTTTAGCAACATGGTTGGCTTATGGCACATCTCTCCTATGAAGCATAATTCTGCCAAACCTGAAGTCAGCCTAACATTAACACCTTCAAACGGGTGAGGGGTGAAGTGGAGAAAGAAGAACAAGGTTTCTGAGAGGCAAAACAAAAGCAAAATCACATGCACCAGTACACACAATTTCAAGTCACTTTTCCAGGTAAAGAAAATGCCCCTACTAACCCTTGTCCAATCTTCTCAAACCGTGTATATTTCTTCTTAGGATCGCCCACGCTCACTATGCTTCCTGTGAAAGAAACAGAGACCAAAAATCATTTTTTCCCCCTCAGATCAAGATACAAAACAGGCTCCATGTTTCTCCAAACCCTGGAGTTGGCAAAGGTACCTCCAATACCCAAAAACCATACTAAGGAGAGCCTAAGCTTTCCCCCAAAAGTTTCATCTCCTTACCCTTTTATTCATAGTAATCTATTCCATTTCTAAATTCCTGAGAACCATTTATTAATTTTTAATTCATTCATTCAATAAACATTTACTCATTTAATATGTTCGCTGACCATGTGCCAAGCTCTATGTTGAGTGCTAGGAATAAAAGATAGATGAGACAGTTAAGACCGTCTCTGCTCTCAAGAAGCTCAGTTTCATGGAGGAGACAGAGAAGCATAAAGTCCCATGAAAAAATAATAATCATTGCACTAGACGGCAAGGGTTACAGAAAGAGGTACAAAATACAGATTGGAAAGGCTTCAGATAGGAGGTGATATCTGGACTGATTTTTACAGGGTAAATAAGAGGTAGGAAGAGAAAGTTGAGAAGGGGTCACAGAAGGAAGTACATCAAGTGCAAAGAATGAGGTATGAGAGAGTTCACTGATTTGTATTCTAGAGATGGTGAAACTGAGGCCCACAGAAGGGAAGATACTTCCTCCCAAGGTCACACAGCACATTGGTGTCAGGGCTAAGATTAGGAGTTTGGTTTTCCAGCTCCCAGTCCAAAGTGCTTTCCGCTGATCACCTCCAACTGACCCCCACTGATGGCCTGCTTGCCCCCAACTGGCCCCCCTGCTGGTCTGCTTTACCCCCAACGGCACCACCTCCCACCAGCCTGATCACCCACAACTGCCCTCCCCTCTTGGCCTCTAACCGCCTCTACCTCGGCCCTGCCACCATGGCTTTGTCCAGAAGAACATCTGGAAGGTCTCCTGGGAGGAATCCCAGTCTAATTAACATATTACCCTTTTATTAGTATAGATAAAGGCCTGGTGCAGAGATGAGGGCCAGCTGGTTTTCCCTGAAGGGCGTCCCCGATCAGGGTGGGGGTTCCCTTGGGGTGTGGGGCACTGCCCTCCCCTTGGCCTCTAACCGCCTCTACCTCGGCCCTGCCACCATGGCTTTGTCCAGAAGAACATCTGGAAGGTCTCCTGGGAGGAATCCCAGTCTAATTAACATATTACCCTTTTATTAGTATAGATAGAGGCCTCTGG